AAAAAACCTTAAGCCAAGAGGGAGATCAATTCGATTTGCTGCCAGGTTTTGGCTTTGCTTCAGTGCGCAGCTCTGCAGCTCTTCGGGGTAATTGAGATGTTCCAAAATACAATAAAGTATGGGCATTCGATTCGTCTATTTGTAAGTTCTCGAATCAATAAAGGAGAGGGCATTTCTCAATATTATTCTATGACTTTTACAACTTGGATAATTTCAACTTTTCTGTGCATTATTTTTGCTGCGAATTATTTTCTTAGAATAACTTATACTATAGCTCCAAAGCTAGCAAAAATAGTGATTCTAAGGCGATAAAATACGTTTAAAGTTGAATACCCTTTAAAGTCTGTACAAAAGTAAAAACTTCTTTAAACTTTAAGGTAAACAGAGTTTAGCAGAGGCATTTTATTAGGTGTATCTATAGATATATTCAAGAAATTCAGAATTATATATTATTATAGATTCAAAACAATTTCTTCTCTTTTATGTTCTTTTTTTAGAGCAAGTCTTTCATAGTTTTTGTATCTTAATCTAAAGTTACTGCTAAATACCGAAATACCTTTGCATAAATAAGAAATCATATAATAATCGTTTTATTACACCAAAACAAACCTAGAACGAACCGACCAACCCTTTTGGCAAGTGTAACTAACCACTTCAATGGAAAACTGTGTGCAAGCCTTCGTTTCGTGACTTGGTGGAAAAAAGTGAGTTGAAAAACTGCAACTTGGGCATCAGACAATTAGGCATTGTTCATTAATTAAAGCGTTCGCTGGAGAACGATCTGCAATTGCAATTGCGAATGCGAATACGATTGTTTCTCTAATCTGAACATTACAGCCAAAGTACTTATCGGTATGACAAGCCAAATGAGTTGCTCAATTGTTGGGATGTTTGCAGCAAGATGAGAAGCCGAATGATAATTACGAATTCTTCAACTAAACCTGAACTTGATTGGAAGCTTTAAAGGAGGCGGAGTATTCAAAGGGGTAGAGGGTGTGCCCCTAGCAAGCCGTGAACATTTGCAGTCAATTAAATAAACATTTATTAACCAAGCCACTGCACAAAAGCTGTTAACAAAGCCATTTGGCCGATTTCAGTTAAAATGAAAACGTTCTCTCTCCAAAAAGGAACGACGACGACGACGACGACTGAGAGTGTGTCTCTCGGTTGAAGAAACAAAAAGAGAAAAAAACAGAAAAAGAAACAGCGCTGTAATTGATGGTTTTGGCCAGGACTGTGACTGCTGCTTGCTGCAGTTTTTGTTGTATTTTCGTTGACCAGCATGGGAGAGCCCCACATGCACTTTGGCGTGGCGGCTCTAACCGTCTCTTTCCAGTCGCCGTATATGGCCTCTGTCCCACTCGCTGGTCTTGGGATTTCACGCATGGAACACAGTCGGCGTCCCGTCTGGTCTCTGGTCTCGGGTACCCAGTATTCGGGTTCCCAATCGCATTCGAGTCCCTCCCGGGCTATACATAGTAGATTCGAATTGAATTTTGGCGGTGCGTTCATTAATCATTATTTCAATCATGAAACAAATGTGCTCTTTGGGTGCTGATGGTTGTTGCTGTTGTTGTTTCTTCTGTTGTATCTTGTGAAATTTTTTTTTCTGCCTGCCCCGCATCCCTAGGCCCCTTCTCCACCATCCACCTCTTCGATGCGCTTCAAAGATTGATAATCTCTGGGATATCTTTAAATTTAATTAGTCACATTCATAACAGACCGCCAGCTAGCCAGCCAGCCAGCCAGCCAGTCGGGCCTTACCAAATTACATGTTACAACAAAACTGAGCCTCGCTTTTAGCCATGTTTATGCTCCTCCCTTCTGGGCCACCACCTCTGCATGGGTCCCCTCTATATCTCCTCTGGATATGTTGTAGCTGCTCCCGATCCACGCCAGTTATATGTGTGAGAAACAGAATTCCAGTTCTCTGGGATTCCAGTTTCCACGGCTGCTGTTCAGTATATATTTTGTGTGTGTAGCGTAGCCCTTTAATGAAAAATCGCCGTTGTTACTAATTATGATTGACACAGACGTAATTGGAAATTTGAGTAAAGCTTTTCGAGGCCCATCCATCGACATCGACATCGGCATCGGCTTCGGCGGTCTTCAAAAAGTTTCACTAAATTAAAGGTTTTCGGCGTTGGACTAACCAAAAGAAAAACTTTCTTTGATGGATAAGCGCTCTTCTAGTCTTTTGTATTTTGGCTGGCTTTTTGTAACATTTTACACTCAAGCTGGGTCTTCGAATGGGATGGGGGGATATCTTAGGCTTGGTGTGAAAAATATTTAAAGAAAGTTTTGTAAATATTTTCAACAAGAGAAAATATCGACTTGCTCTTGGCAAGAATTTAGGTCAATCAAAGGTGCATTAGGGCGGTTAAATGAAAGAAGAATTTCTCTTAAATGTTCTAAAAAATAGATGATTTCTTTGATGTAATTCCGATTATTTCAAGATAGAATTTCCCTCAGACATTACGCAGTCAAGAACTTCCATTTATATCCCTAATCTAAGCCATCATTAGATGAGTTTCAATTTTGAATTAATTCAACAATTTATTGCTGTCATTTGCAAAATGATCCATAATTATCATGATTTTCAGGAATACGAGAAATTGAAGTGAATAATTATTCGCATATTCAACTATTCATTTGATGTCTTAACTAATTACGAAATCGGGAATGACAAATATTCAATTAAATGCAAAGATTTTAATGAAACTTTAAATGACTCAAGCCAAAAGTTAAACAGCTCCTTGGCTAGCTAAGATCTTTCTTATCACTTTCTGGACTTTGTTGGGTCTTGAGACGACTCCAAGAACTCTGAAAAACTCTGAAGGGGGGCTTTTAAACTGCCACCATCATTAAGCCTAATTTGGTTGAAGATTTCTTAAGTTTTTTCGGAGCTAATGCGAGGCAATTACGGTTTCATCTTTTTTAACCAATTGGCGGCAGAAGAGGCGATCTTTTGGCCTCGAGCCCTGTGCCTGGTCCATATGCAGCGCGGTCTCTCAGAGTCGAGTCCGCGGCTCCCCTCCATTATGGTGTTGTGCAGTAAACGTAAAATCAATCAGAGATAATCTGTCATGGATAATGGGTGCCTGTCCAATGCCCAGTCTACAGTCTCCGGTTTCAGCTCAATATTTGTGCCCCCAAAGCGTTTGACTTCGACTCATTTAAGTGATTCGTGTAATTATTTTAAACAGCCGCAGTGTAAATTTCGTTAAACATTCATCTCCGCTGTAGCTGGACCTCATATAGGCCCCGTTTTTGGTCGTAATATGACAGGTAAACACAGTTCAGACAGTTGATAAATGGCCAACACAATATTTGAACCACATTTAATTGTTTCCAAGTCTCCCACTGGAGATGTCTCTTGGGCTCTTAGACTCTATCGAAAACTTTCGATTCGTCTTGTAAATCTGGCTTTAATACCTATAAAAGTCAAATCGGGAGGAAGCTTTAATTTCTTAAGCTTCCAGAGACACACACACGGCCTCCAGTCAGTCAATCATTAATCACTCAATCAATCATTTGGCAAGCGATTCCTTGGAGGGCCTTCATTGTCCTGTTGTTTTCGCTGGAAGCACAAGAGCAGGCGAAGGCTCCTCCAATATTTCGCTGGAGGTCGGGCTCTACAGCTAATCAACATCCTGTGATGTGATTCCCATTCCCCCCTTCGGCAGAGTTCATCTGAGGTTTAGGCCTGCTCGACTCCATCGACTTGTCAACATGTCGTTAACACAATTTCCATACCAGATTGATTGGAATGCCAGTCTCTAACTGAAGGCTGTCCTGGGGAGGGGAGTTGTAAATGTGGGCTGTGTGGAGGAATTGGGCTTATATTTATTATGGAAATTGGTTTTAATGGAATTTTCGGGGCAATGGGAAGATAGAAGCTGCAGAATTTCAGCTCAGATTTGTTCTTAGCTGAGAAATAAAATATTTGATGTCTAAGAAACCTCTCAAAAAATCTATAAAATGCAAATTTTTCTTGCTATTCCCCACTATTATTAAAACACACTTAATTACACATATTAGTGGGTTAATCAGTAACTTTGGTTGCCACCCATTTTTGCTTATAAATAACTCGGATTATGGGATCGCACACACTTTGGATTTCTTAAGTTTATATCAAAAACTTTTGATGGCTGGCTTAAAGAACCCAACAGAACAGAAAACAAAGAAACAAACCATACATGGGGGTTATACATACATGTATATACATAGAATATATGTATATATGTTTGTCTGTATATGTATATGGTTGTGGATGTGGATGTGGATGTTTGCGATGGTGGTGGCATCATTAATCACATTTTCTGTGTTGCCTCGTGCAGCAAGTGAACTTCCTTTTGCCGCCGCCTGACAGTCGCAACTGATTGCTGGATCTGAATTGGGATTTTGGACTCAAATGCTCTGCAAGACACACACAAAACCCTCCTTCAAGCCATCCCATACAATCCTCTTACTACGTTTGCCATCCTTTTCCCTTCTTGCTACTGACGCAAAGCTCTCAGCGAGCTACCTCTCCTCTTTTGGGTCCCAGTGTTGTTCCTTTGGCTCCCACATTGCGCTTCCTTTCACCTTAAGCAGTTCTGTCAGAGTTGAGTAAATTCAATGTAGCAGCCACTAATGCGCTCGGGCTCAAAAGTTCCATCAGTAGGAGTCTCAAAAACGTGAAACAGGGAATAAACAAAAGCTATAGATGCTTTTGATGCAATTTTAAAATATTTTTGCTTTGTTTTGTATACTTTTTGGTAGTAATTCCGAACCCCCTTAGTCTTAGATTGGTACAAAAATTCTTAATTATAGATTTTTATATGAGGAAGGGGCTCTGATAGAGGGATGTCCAATATATGTCCAGTATATCCCATTTTGTAAGCATTCAACATTATCTGAATTGATGTATCCTTTATTCCATTACAGAAGAAAAAATAAATATATCGAAACTGTGAATGAATTTATGTAAATCAAAGCAGCATGCATTGCCAGTAAAATCCCAGGAAGCAAATTAAATTCATAATGAAAGACACACAATACAATTAGTTAACAAAAGTCTCCCCTGTTAGGTTGCTTTCACTAGTTAATTAATTTGAACACATTTTACTACAAAATGAAGACCTAAAACCCACAAAAGTTCATTCATATATTCACATGGCACGAACCACAAACTAAATTTAAGTTTTATACACTTAACGGCACCTAATGACGTTTTGATGGTGACCATCAAAATCGAATCAGTTGGAAGTCGATTAATTAGCGACCATAGTCCACAGTAGCCTGGCACAAAACACACACATGGACATGATGGACACTGATGGCGGAGGTGGTACATAGCACGAGCACGTGGTCCCAATTGGGAGAGAGAGTAAGTAGATTGGAATGGATGGAGGTGTTTCGTATCGTATCGTATCGGATGGTGGTTCAATTATTCGGCAATTAGGCAGCAACACAGACGCGGTCACACATGGCCAAAAGTGCGAGTCAAAGTGTTTTTCTTTGAAAAAGTTAAAGGGGCGAATGATTTAATGGATCTGTGGAAAGTCGGAGAGCAAGTCTAAATATTTACAAAAAACCATATTAAAGCGTTTAATGTACGACCTTCTGCGGTGTACTTGTGTGTGTGTGTGTGTGTGAGTGTTTTGTGCATTATACAACAATCATTCTATCGATTTTCCATGTTTTGTTCGCTTCATTTGAATATCTGCACGTCATGCTCATCTCAACAATGGAATCACGGTAGTAATGATAACAAACCCCTACCCTCTCCTACCCCACCTGAAGCAGCACCCAGACAAACCACAACAATAATCACATAAGAGAACATAATGCCAAAGTGATATTCGTTCGATGTTCAATTGAAATTATTGCAAGTCAGAGCCTCAGCCGCTCAGACTCCTCTCCAGTCGGTAGCCGCGATTCCGTCAGAGAAATCAACATTCAATATAGTAGGTGCCTCTTTTTTTTCTCTCTTTTCTGATCGATATTGCTGGCCAAGAGTCTGCCGCTGCTGTTGCTGCATCTGTACATAAGAAAAGTACGTTCTAAAAGTGGAAAATAAATGGTCTGGTCCAGAGCCACACACAGAGACAGTGCGGGGATCGATGAAAGCCTAGTGAAAATGGGCGGTGCTTGGCATACCACTTTTTGAGCATGCGCCATGACTGTCAAATCACCAACACACGCACGCACACAGGCAAAACAACCAAAAAATGTGTCTATGTGGTGGCTGTACAGTCGATGCTGTATAAATAGGAACAGTGGTGGGTGACAGTGGAGGGCAAGAAAATGTGAATGGCTTAACAACAATGGTTTTGCCTATAAATAATAAAAGAAAGTGAAATGGGTATGACTATGATAATAGAAAAAATAGAGTATTAATCTTAAAATTGCAGAAATAAAAGAAAAGAAATAAAATAAATAAATTCTCATACATTCATATCTTTATACATACATATGTGATAATATATAATAAATACAAATAATTTTAAGTTTATCAGTTTTTCAATATCAGTTATGTACGAATATTTATTATGGTTCCAACATATCTGGTAAATAATATTTCACAAAACATATTAGCTGCCATTTAAATCTTATACCCTTTCTACTAGTCTTACCAGGCCCAATATTCCTCTCCGTCACTGTCGTCCCATTGAATGGGTGTGACCAACAGTCATGCCATCTCGCTCTGACCTATACATCCCTCTCTCTACCTTAACAACAAGAGAGAAGGAGAGAGAGAATGCGAATTGGTGGTGGAAAATGGCGTGAAACGAAGAGGAAACACAGCCATGGCTTCCACAAAAGGCCCACAGTGTCCGTCCGTCCGCACAGTGGGCCGGCCTTTGGTGCCTCTTAAACCAGTAAATCGGGTTTCGTCTGGCAATGGAATGGCGTTAAACAGACAGAGAGACAGAGAGAGAAAGAGAGAGAGAGAGTGAGAGAGAGAGCGCGAGTGAGGGAGAGAAGAATGTAAAACGGAGACGGAAAACAGGTTCGCTTGCGCGTAGAGCTCGCGTGCTCGAACATAACAAAAGCGAGGCTCGAATGGAACGCATCGCACGCGCGAGCCAGAGTCAGTTTTTCCGTTGAAATCTCTCTAATTTTCCCCGTTTTAACCATACGCCGGTGACGCGAAAAGCTTCGCGTTGTGTTCCAAAAAGCTCCCCTTTAAAAAAATAACCCATAAGAATGCAAATATCATAAGAAAGCATTGTAGAAAAAAGTGTGTGAGAAATACTCCAAAAAAAAAAGAGAAAGAATATGTGCGAGCCGAGTGAAAGTGTCGGAAACTGAAAAGTTTTGATCAGAAAAGCAAGAAAACCTCCAACAGAAATCGGAAATAATAGAATATACAGTGGTGCTTCGGTAGAAGACCAAGTGGTGCTCCAAAAACGAAAGAAGACCAGGTGGTGCGCTCCCAGGCTGATCCGTCAGCATGAGCTCATTCCTCATGGGTTATCCGCATGCCCCCCATCACGTCCAGAGTCCCATGTCCATGGGCAATGGTCTGGATCCGAAATTTCCACCCGTGGCCGACGACTATCATCACTATAACGGACACTATTCGATGACCGCCTCCACGGGGCACATGAGCAGTGCCGTCGGCGTTGGCGGTGGCGTAGGCGGTGGTTCACTTGGTGTCGGTGGTTCGGTTGGCGGGGTGACAGGCGGTGCAGCGGGCATGTCTGGTCACCCGCATGCCATGCATCCGGCGGATATGGTCAGCGACTATATGGCCCATCACCACAATCCCCACACGCACTCGCACACCCACCCGCACTCGCACCACCACAGCAATGGCGCGTTGTCCGGCGTCCATCAGCCATCCGCCGGTGGCTACACCACCAACTATGCCGCCGCCACACCGCCCGCCAGCCACCATCCGCATTCGCATACGCACCCGCACGCGCATCCACACCAGAGCCTCGGATACTACGTCCATCATGCACCCGAGTTCATCTCAGCCGGAGCCGTACACTCCGATCCAGCGCCGCTTTCGAATGCCGGCTACGGGCCGTCGGTGAATGTCCCCAACAGTGGGAGCGGCCCCGGAGGAGCTGCCATCGCCAACTCAAATGGATACTACGGGGGTTACGGCGGGGGCTATGGCACTGCGAATGGCAGTGTGGGCAGCACTCACTCTCAGGGACACTCGCCGCACTCCCAGATGATGGATCTGCCGCTGCAATGCTCCTCCACAGAGCCTCCCACAAATACGGCACTGGGTCTCCAGGAATTAGGTGAGTTTGAAATCGGGGAACGACTGGCGGCGGGTTCTAAGGTGGGTTAGATGTGGAATTGGGGAAGTATTCTGAGTGAAATGCAGGTAAAACCCCTGACTGCCTCCTAAAATTGATTCCAGAGTGCCGTTCCTTAGACTTCCTTAGACTCTTAAACAGCACCAATATTTGCTCTATATAGAGGATCGTCTGCTCTACATGTCCCCATATATTTTTCTTCAAGTCTAGACCTAAGAATATTTTAATTTACAACTTTAAAAGTCATCTCCTTGTAACCCGCTTATAATAATCTGCTCTCAATGCAGGTTTAAAACTAGAGAAACGCATCGAAGAAGCTGTACCTGCCGGACAACAATTGCAAGAGCTGGGCATGAGATTGCGCTGTGATGATATGGGTTCCGAAGTGGTAATTAAACCGAAAATAAACCCTATAAAAATAAATTAATGCAAATTATCTCCTGATTTGTTCAGGATGATATGTCGGAAGAGGATCGTCTCATGTTGGATCGATCACCTGATGAACTTCTTTCCAATGACAATGACGACGATCTGGGGGACTCCGACAGCGAAGACGATCTGATGGCGGAGACAACCGACGGCGAACGGATCATCTATCCCTGGATGAAGAAGATCCATGTGGCGGGTGTGGGTAAGTCGAATGTTTCCCTTCCCACTCTTTTCCTTGCCCTCAAAATCCCCAGACATTGTGCCCCCATTTTTCGGGATATGCTAATTAAATTACTTAGCTGCCAACACCCACTTGATCCACTGACAGGCCCCTCTGTAATGTTCACTCTTTGGCGAAAAACACAGAGAGAGAGAGACCAAAGAAAGAAAACTGCGACTCCCAAAAGCTCATTAATCAAAATCAAGAATGCCACGCCTCATGTCGAGGGTCTAAGACCCGTGTACCAACCCAAAGTGACATGTTCCTGTACATACTGCTCCTATATATATACTCCTACTATATATCTTTTTGTTTTGTGTGAGTTTCCTCTGTAAACTGCAGTTCAACTGGATGTCCTCCTTTCTAGAGTTTCTTTCAACACTTGAAGTTGCTTTGGATGCTTCGACGTCACAGTGCCAATTGATATATCATTGGACTGATCAAGGGAATATGGGAATTTATATTGAGCTTAATGAGAAAGCAGAACCCTAGTTATTGAGCGTAAATGTTAAGGTTTTCGACCTTAAAAAAGTTTTAAAAATTGATGGAAAAGTATCCTATATATATGTACAGGATTCTCCTCTGACTTTTCGATTAGGAAGATTTATTAATTCCTTAGAAATATATCTGCAAATGAAACAATGCTTGAGGAACATTTTTTAGTTGGTGTAAATGCTAATTTACACTTAACTAAAATACAGCTCGTTCCATTTATTATAATTAAAAAAAAATTCAGGTGTTTTCCAACCTTGTAACCAGATCATTTACATATTCTAAATGGTATTTTAAAAATCTTCCATGACTCTTTAATTTCTCCATGTCCAACCTCTCATTGACTCATTCACTCACACAATCTTTGAGTTACAACCAGCTCTCATCTACCACATACCCCATAATGCTCTACACAGAAAACTGAATGCAGATACGAGAACAGGTTTCCATTTCAGTGTCCAAAACCATTCACCAGAAGGCAACACTGAATGAGCCACAGTCCAGTGCGATGTGGAACAGATAATTACCTATAATTGTCGCAGCCTAAAACGTAGGAATTCATTCAGACGAGTGTGGCCGAGTGTCGAGTGGGTTACCAACTGATGATTGTCGTCGCTTATTGTTTTAATATTACTGAATGGGGTATTGGCAGGGCAGGGCAGGGCATGGAATGGAATGGGAGTTGGAATGGGGATGCCTTAGGGGCATCAAGTAGGTGTCGACTGCATTTACGCGGCGGCCCATGAGGAGTCGCCACACACGGACCCTGATAGATTGCTTTTTAATTAGCACAGAGAGAGACACCGACCCAGACCCATGGAGTACTCCAATTTGGCCATAACCTTGACCCAAATGGGTAATTATAATGTTTCGTTTTACGCCACTCCGACGCGCCTCATCGGGCCACACCACTCCAGAGAGGCGCTTGGGGAATTGACTCTAAGCATCAGAAAAATCAAAAATCAAAGTAGTCCATCAGACAGACGGACGGACGTACAGACGAACGCACAAACGATCGCTCAGGGGCATGTTTGACACAGTCACAAGGTACGCGTAGCATAGCCGTCTCCGACTCCGTCTCCATCTCCGACTTCGACTTTGACTCCGACTGAGTGACGGATGGTCCGTGTCATTTGATGTTAATGTTGTGACATTTATCATGAGCGCACGACTACGAGAACAAGACGAAACTTGATTATCGCCAGTGCATCATCTCTCTCGGAGTCTCTCTTGGCGGAGTCTCTCGTCTCGTTATGTGCCCCGAAACCTGTGTCCCCTCTTTCCACCTTCCACTGCCGTACGTACCCCAGCGGTGTCATGTTGTTCCCTTTACAAATGACTTACACTCGCTTAACACTTGCCTCTGCGCCGACTAGTAGAGACCCAAAAAAAACTATGGGGCTGTGGCGTGTGGTCTTTTGCTCAATTTATTATTATAGTTTTTTCTTTCCTTTATTTTTTGCCCTACGGCCCAACAAACACACAAAACTTGTTCAAAGTTTTGTTTGAAAGAGAGGTGTGAAATGGCATTTAGAGAGCGATTTTGTGGATTATTTAATAGTTTCAGCGGGCAAGTGTTGAAAAGGTATCAAAAAGTGTGGAGTGTCTGAAAGGGGACTGTGGGGATTGATTATATTATGGGATAAATGCTGATTTGAGGTAATGAATGGTTCTTAAGTGGAAGGTTGAACTGGTAAAAGTTACTTTAACTCTCATAGAGAGTGATTCTTGAGTAATAAGTGTTGAAATGCATAAAAAAATAGTGCTGTAAATGACATTTTTGCATGGGAAAAGTTGATTTAGGTGCAGAAAATATGTTTTTCTTATACAAAATTGCTAATAGAATATTACTAAAAACATCACTGAAAATAACTTCGATGAAAAGTGTTAAAAATTAGAAAAAAGAGGAGAAGGAGTAGGAGAAGATTGATAAGCTGTATATGTTATCTGAAAGTGGGGAAAACTATAATTAAATACTCTTAGAAAAGGAAAAAAATTAATTTAAAGCTTAAAGCTAGCAAAAGAGACTGAGAAATTATCTATTACAAGAAGAATTAATATAAATGTTGTTATATTGCAAGTTGGAACTACTCTATTCGTTGCACCTAAATTAAAATTGGTTAGAAAATATTACTATCTTCGCTGCAGAGTCCTTTAATTTTAGTTGAGAGTAGCCACAGCTTTAAGCTCCATACATTTTCCGTATTTCAACCGATTCTCCTTGCAAAGTATAACTTGCTAATCTCCCAGGTGTGGGGAAACCTCTCATAATGTTAGATAACAAAAATATTGATTTCATGCACGACAGAGAGGCCCAAAAGATGAGGTGGCTAAAACTTGTACAAGTTTCATGTTTATACGATATACAATACACAGAGAGAGAGAGGGAGAGAGAGAGATATACTACTCTGATACTCTGATGATGCTGCTGCTGCTGCTGCTGGCGGCGGGGCATTCAATAAACAGTGAAACGTGAACAGCCTTGTAACTGAATTTCAATGGCAAGTCCACGATTAAGTTTCCACACCATGAGGGGGGCCAGGAGAGGAGACCGATCTGAGACTGAGACTGAGGCTGAGAGTCACAGTTACCCGATGACTTGCGGAAAAGCCGCAAAAAAAAAGTGCAAGCTAAAGATACAGATACAGATACATGCAAGGCGCACACACAGATGCGATGCTGTAAAAACTCGACTGGAATATTGCGCCTTTTGCAAAATGTTTACCGGCAGCGGCGGCTGCCCAGGCAGACCCAGACCCAGGCCCAGGCCCAGGGCATGACAATGATGAAAATGACGCAGTAAAAATTAAGAAGTTCGCCTTTTATGACAGATGAGGCACGAACGAACAGCTGAGGCACAGACACCGATACGGGCAACTCAGACTCAGACTTGGGCATCAGACCCAGAGACCGAATCTCCGCTGAGTTCTCTTGCACAAAGCATAATTAGCGATTCCGATACCCCCTCTAGCAAGTGAATGGACGGAACCTCTCTGTCTCTCTCTCTTTCTTTTAACATATTTATACCCGTCTCGTCTCTATCTTGATTTGGCAATTTACACCAATAAAAGTTCTCTTCTCTGAAGCTCTGCGAAGCTGCCAACTTGTTTGCAAATTATTGAAATTGGCATTAATTAGCGTACATTTATTGCTTTCTGCCTTCGACCATTGTACATGCTAGCCCAGACTTCTATATTTCGCATAGACTAGAGCTAGAGACAATTTTTGGAGAGGTTTCTTTCGTGTCTTTGTGTTCTTTTGTTGAAAGCAAACGAATCTTCAAGGTCGCTCCATGCCCGGGCTCCATTGTTTGTCCAGAGACTTAAAAGTCGTGAGCTTCTTACCGTCTTTCTTCATGTATTTTGTGGCTCCATTCCATTCTATTTGCCACAAACAAAACGTTTCCGAGACTTGGAACAAGTGCTAAAGATTTGGCTTTTAGTTGAATAGCATTTTCGATGGTCATTTATTGTTGTGTTTCTTTTTGGGCTATGAGAAGGCGAAAGTGAAATAAACACTAGTTTTGGGGCAGGACAAAAAACGCTTTTTGAAAGGGGTTTTTTGTTGGAATTTTTGAAACTAGGGAACTCAGAACCAAAGTTAGGAAAGTCTCTAAAATTGTTCAAAAATGTTTTTAGGCATTAATTTCATTTGCTTTTTAATTTATATGGCTTTAAAGGTGGAAATATTGTTGTTGCACTAAAAATCTATTTTTCAGTATTTCTTTAAGTCTTTAACTTACATTTTATAACAAATGTCTGTAGATCTTTTACCTATTTCTCATGCAAATTTAATAACCTTTTTGGACCTACATTCTAATCTATTTCTATTATTCGTATTCTTTCGATTCTACTTTGCTTTTTCAACTGTCTTTGTAGTTTCTATCATATTGTTTTAACCTAAATTTGCACCACATTTACTCGTAAACTCCTTGAATTCGCATAAATTAACATATTTTATAATTTAAATGTGCACTTAGCTCTTAGCCAGTTGAAAAATCTAAGCCCCAAAAGTATTTTTGCGTTTAAATGAACAAAATTCATGGCGTACGTAGAACAATTCTCCCACAGCGTGTGGTGGCGGCGGCAACCAGTTCAAGTGCTGCTGCGGGTACTACACTTTGGAGCCACAAAAATATATATACACATATATGGAAGATATATGTAGGTATATATGATGTATGGGTACATGAGGGTTTGGGTGTTCTCTGGGGGCCGGGGGCACATACATGTGTAAGTAGCATGAGCTCATGTTTATTTTTATTATTTCGCCTGGCTCTGCCACAAATTGCAAGTCACTTGACAAGCTGCTGATGCAGCTCCCGCTGTTGTTGAAATGTTGACTTGCCTTTTTTTATATATTTTTTCTTTGCCATGAGCTCACACAGCACAGATACTTTAAGGGGGAAAAAAATAAACGAAGTTTTAAACTTGGAACGAACCCCACAGTTGGAACGGATAACACGGCGTATGCGCAATGCGAGGCATTCATTAGTGCAGATCCTAAAATTAATTTCTAGCAATTTGTTTGAAACTGCAACGTGAAACGATCTTCTCTAATATTATTACCAGACTGGTAACAGGTTTTTCTATAAATGATTTGTGATGAATGTTCGTCCAAATGAATTATGACAGATGTTAAATATTTTTGCTTGATTTCTTTCCATCTTTTTTTTGACTTTTTTTTTTGTTTTTATTTTTGTCGCTGGCACGAGTCAAATTTCTTTTTTAACCACAAAATATTTACATGCTCTCTGGCTTTAAGTTTTATCTGAATAATTAATCATTCAAACGAATGCAAAATGAATGAAGTGCTGGGGAGAATTGAATCGAAAGGAGAAGCCCGGAAGTTGTCTGGTGGCAGCACCGCACCTCGAAATTGGGATTGGGATTGGAATTGGGTTTGGGATGAGGATTAGGGCTCACCAAATGAGGCCGCCAGACAAAAGAGATTATGAAATAATGTCTGACATAGTTGTTGTGTGTGCATGGGGGAACCCTCTCTTCCCACTCTTCTCTTTCTCTCTCTCTCTCTCCCAGTGAGACTTTTCCCTCTCTTTCTGTGAATGAATTTGTAGAGTCACAAATGCATGATAAATCATATGAAATTTATTTTGGATGGGACAAACATGCCGACAGCCAACAACAGTTTTCAGAATGAGTCAGGGGGTTAGCATCGGGAATATATTGTAGAAATACTCAGGAGGGATCAATGAGGGTGGGGGGCACACACACAAACTCCACTAATATCCCCAGAGAGCGCCAATTTCCTAGATATTGCAGCGCTCTCTTTCTCTCTGAGATTTGGCAGCTCTTTAGCGCTGCCTTCTCTCTTCCCCTCTTAATGCCACATGCAACACAAGCGCTGGTGGTGCACGGCGTGCAGGGGCAACTCTTGTGCAATCTTGATTTCCTTGGCCTTGTATGATTTGGCATTTTCATAAATTGGCTGCCATTCTTATGGCAGTTTTAAATGCAATTGGCACTCATTTTCGGTCCCTCTTTTGGGACACGACCATGACATTGCCTTTTTGCTCTCTGCTCTTCTGTCTCGCTCTCTCTCTCTCTTCCGCTCCTCCTCCTGCGTTGAGTTCTTCCTCTTCTTTGAGGCTGGCATTTTCGTTGAAATGTTGAAATGAAATGATACGCACTTATTAAAAACGAATTAACGCAGCATGCCGCCGCCGCCGCCGCCACCAACGCCAACGCCACAGACAGCGTCATAGGCCCAGGCCCAGGCCTCTGACGCAGCAGCAGCAGCGGCAGCTGACATTGGGTTTTGTCGTACCTCTCTTTCTATCCCTCTGTCCCTATCTCTCTCCAAAGGTGTTTTTCCTTTCCCTGTCTGGCTCTCTCTGTAGGTGTTTACCTTTGTGAATGATATTGCCGTTGTTTTTGCCCTTCGATTTGGTTTTTTTTCCTTCCTTTTCTTTCCTTCTTTTCCTACTGGTTTTTTGGTTTAATTTTCTTCATTCCATGCCGCGAAAATGAAATTTGTTTAGTTGTGTTTTTTTTGGGTTTCATGATATGTATATGTATGTAATTTCAAGTATTTGGTATTAAATGCAATTATGGAATGGAAATGGAAGGCAAAAGGAAGCTTTCTTCGAATTTGTATGATTTCTGGAAATTATAAGTTTTGTAAGAATATTCCAGCAAGACTTCTATTGGGTTTTCTGTAAAAACAAACTATTTTAAGATTCTAGGAGCCAAAAAAAGTGTTTACTTGCACAAAATACAAAAAATATATAAAAATTCATTATAGGAACTCCCACATGCTCATTTTGGGGAAGAGATCTTTTCAGTAGAAACTTTTTAGCTTAAATTAATTCACATAGACTCCTTGAGGCCTTTATTCTTAAGGGAACATATAAAGAACTACATATATTAAATATAAATTTTTATAGAGAAATCTCCCTTAAACGGGGACCTTTTCTGAATCAAAAAGTTTGACCAAGCAAAAGCATCCACAAATTCCTTAAACAACTTAAAAAAAACTCCACCCCAATGACAGATGACCATCTAAGAGGGCTGACTGGCTGTCCACCCTTGAAGTTTACAATATAATCTTCATTTTCTCAATTCTGTGCTGCTAAGGAAAATAAAACTTTCAAAACCCACAAGCGAATAAAAAAACTTGTCAGCAGATCTTAGGCGCATCTGTTGTGTTTCCTTTTCCAATCGAGTGACCCATGTTCAAGCATTCCCTTCATTGGACCACCCAAACCCAAGCCCCAACCCCCAATCCCATTCCAAGACCACACCTATCTCCCTGTAGGGCTGTCAACGGATGGCTGGACACCGAAGAGCGCTGGACACACACACACACACAGAATAAATCATTAATCTATGTTTTGGGCCTCGCCTGGGATTGAAATATTTCTATCAAATCGAAAGCTGTCTGTCACAGACGCAATGAAATTTTTATAAATGTACAAAAACCGAATGGAGAAGCGGATGGGATGAACAACGGATATGAAACAGTTGCACAAAACACAACACAACAGAACAGAACAGGGAAGAGAAGAGAAGAGAAAAGCAGAACTCTGATGGAAACATCAGCATTGGAGATGGCAGCAAATTGAAATTGATGGAGCGTACACATAAATTTTGATCCAATGGACACCAAATGTCTGTCCATCATTTTGGGTCTTTTGGTGGCAGGTGCGAGGCATTTATTCGGCGGCGATAAAAATTAAAAAATAATAAGAAAACGGAAAAGGAAAAGGGAAAAGGAGGAAAAGCGGAAAGGGCTAAAGGGCTGCAACCCTGGAAAAACTAAATGTGGCCGCGAAATGCGGCAACCTTCGATGGACAGACAAGGACAAGCAGCCCAGCAGTGCGCGCTATTTGATTTTGATTAATTATCCTGCCACAAGGAGATCTTTCATGTCCCCGCTGGCACACACCAACCCCCACCCCCAGCCTCAGCCCTACCAAAACCCCTTCCAAAAGTCAAATCCTCCAAAAGGAGTTACAGTTCCAAGTTCTCGCCGCTGCCAAGGTGAAAGCAAAACTTTTCTGGCGGAGGCTTTCTTAAGGGTTGTCAAGTTATCTAAGAGATTTATTGAGAAACTCAAATTTGAAGTGTATTAATTGTGAATGCCACTCCCCCTCCCCTTCCCCTTGCCAATCCTCTATATTGTCTTGCTCTTCAGAAATCATTAATTATGAAAATATTCTTCGTTTTTTAGCGAACGGCTCGTATCAGCCGGGAATGGAACCGAAACGCCAACGCACCGCCTACACACGCCACCAGATCCTGGAACTGGAGAAGGAGTTCCACTACAATCGCTACCTGACGCGACGGCGACGCATCGAGATCGCCCATACGCTGGTGCTGTCGGAGCGTCAGATCAAGATCTGGTTCCAGAATCGTCGCATGAAGTGGAAGAAGGACAACAAGCTGCCAAACACCAAGAATGTGCGCAAGAAGACGGTCGACGCCAATGGCAATCCAACACCGGTAGCCAAAAAGCCCTCCAAGAGGACCAGTGCCAAGAAGCAGGCGCAACAGCAGCAGGCGCAGCAGCAGCAGCCACAGAACTTGCCACAGTCGCAGCAGAACCAACAGCAGCAGCAGCAGCAGACTCCAGTGATGAATGAGGTGAGTGGATTGTGTTGAAAGTCAACAGGAAAGGCACTTTAAGTGCGGCTCTGTGTGGACTCCTTTGGCTTATGGTTTATGCGGAACATCATTAATTGATGGGAGGCTGGAACTATTTCTCGTTCGCCTGCTTTTAAGACACAAAATAAGAGAGCTTAGCTTTTCTCTATATAGCTCATTTAATTTTATGGAAAGTGGACTAGAAAAATGTATACCACCATGAGCCATATATTTCTGATAGAAATAAAAAGAAATTAAAGCTCGAAAACTCCCGCATAAACGCAAAAATAATTTTATTTCCCAATAACTCTCTAAGCTTAAACTTATACCATTTCTATCCTTCTCTCTATTTATTCCAGTGCATCCGTTCAGATAGTTTGGAGAGCATTGGCGATGTGAGCTCCTCGCTGGGTAATCCCCCCTACATACCAGCAGCACCAGAACCAGGGAATGGCTATGTTGGATCTCAGCAGCAGCAGCAGCATCACAGCAATAATAATAATAATACCAACAGCAATAACAATAATAATAACAATAGTAACCTCAACAATAACAATACAAATAACAATCAAATGGGACATGCGAGTCTGCATGGGAACCATCTTCAGCAGCAGCAGCAGCAGCAGCAACAGCAGCAGCAACAATCCGATCTCATGACCAATCTGCAGTTACACATCAAACAGGACTACGATCTGACGGCACTGTAGGCAACAGGACTAGGACCATGATCTATGAGAGAGCACTGTAGCAATATGTAAATTTCCAAAACCAAAATCCCATCCCCACCAACCCTCCCCCACTTCCTTTGTAAGATCTTTTTGTGTGTTTTGTTTTATTTTCTTTTCTAAAAACGAAAACCTTGTGAACTCTGGACAAGGCCAAGGACAAATCGGAATATACAGTGAACAAAAAATAGTTAGTTAGACTAAAGTTAAGCATCGACCATTAGGTAATCGAACCCTCTCACTTAACCTCCCTTCTACCTACCTACCCTACCCCCCAAACAAAATGTTGTATATGTACTTAAGGCCTCCCTCCTCCCCCAAGAATCAGGTATAAGAGAGAGTTTTTTGTATAAAGCCTAGAAAGATTTGTCATAGTCATTAAGTCTATATATTTAGTATATAGGATTGCATATGTGTATAATTATGATTATGATTATTAATTATTAATTAAATGTAGTGTGGCATTTGTTGTGCGTCGTCTAGATGTATGTAAGTTCGTACGTATATTTTATGGATACAAATAAATGATATATAAAACGAAAGATATATAATGAAAAATTGAGCGAAAAATCTTAGTTTTATTTTAGTTAAATTTGGGAACCGAATATGAAGATATTTAATTGAAAAAAGGTTACCAAAAAAGAAGTACAATTCGAGCTAATTCCCCTGGCAGTACTCCTTCTACTTTGCATGGAAAAAATAAACCATAATTTCACGGTGAACTTTATTCCTGAATGAGTAAGGAAAAGAGCAGACTCCTTTGATTGATAACCTCCTCTCAATAAGACAAGACTCTCTTGAACCGCCTACACACAAGCCCAAGTAGTAGATTTATATTCGATGATAATCCGCTGATTCATTCATCGCTCATTGTCAACTAATTAGGACAAATTTAAACATCATGGCCCCAAACGCTGCTGGGCTCCAAAAACTCCTTTTGTGTGTGTGTGCCTGTCCTGTCTGTGTGTTTCGAGGGGATGGATTTCGCGCTAAAGAATTCAACAGGCCTTTGTTGCCAATCAACATTTTGGGGGCGCTGCAGCGCTGTGCTCTGTGTGGCAAGGAGGCAAGAGGCAGCGTCGCCAAATGCTAACAAGAGTTCTTAATTAAAAATCGATTCGCTCCATGATTGATCACAGCCCATTGGCACCTGTTGGCTTCTGGAAATATGTTCAACAAGAAATCATCTCTCTGCCAAGAAATTTCACAGCAAAGGGGGGATCCTGAGGGAGAGGGAGGGAACTGGTCTTTGCACACATTTCTCTCGAATCGAAGTCCTATTGCGAATTGTGAGTGGCCATTCAAGCGTGCACTTCTCCTCCTTCGCTGACAATGACCAGGGGAAGAGACTGCGCCCCTCTTTCGGAGGGGATCGGTAGGTACCCTCTCCGGTTGGGACACAATCAATCTACCCCCTGACTCGGACAGTGGATTGTCGTGCCCGGTACATGGAAACACTCTTAGCGCTTAATTTATCATTGCGAAATGATCAGGCACTGCTCTGCTCAGCTCCTTTGGCGTCCGAACTTGAAACTGGAACTGCACACTCGCCACAAGCGATAAAAGGATTAAGACCTACTTATAGACCGGAACGAAAGAGGAGCCTACAACACGAAGACAGGGAGGAGAGACAGAGAGAACGACACTGAAACGAAGAGAAGGACGAAGATGAGTACCAGAAAAAGTTGACATTGCGTTCTCCCCTTGTTGAAATTAGCAGCTCAAAGTGATTACGAGAGCATGAGCACGTGTTATGGAAATAATTTAACACTTTGACAGGGATAGCAGTACCAGGCGAGAGGGGATGCGAAGGGTTAGGAGTGGAGTGGCTTGGAATATCATTCGTAATTATGACCAACGGTAGCTTCAGTTGTCACTTGCCCGCGGAAGAAGACCCACCGCAGGCAGGGTTTCAGGTTAAGGGAATTTTCTTGCAAGTTTTTCAGTTATTAAACCTTGAAAAAAAATGCTCAAAAAGGGGAAAACAAGCTAAGAACTTCCATCAAATATATTGGAAATAATTTTAGACTATAATATTTCCAAAGCTTAAATATTTTTTTAGCCTTAAACCAATGAAAACTGCCAAAAAATCAAACCAAGCCCATCAGTAATCAATAGCATTTGATCAGATCTACAACATTACAGCTAGAGCCCTTCCTAGAACCCCTTTCTCTTCCCTGCCCCTCCTTTTTTCTTCCATTAAACCCTCAAAAATGATTCTCACACCTTTTCTATGTAACAACTGCAAGAGACCACAAAATCTGTGGAGTATTTGTTCTAAATGATTTTTAATAGACAAAACTCAGCGCAGCCATTCGTCTGACCATTTATATTCCATCCTCCAAGCGACCGACCATCCATCGTATGGGGTAAAAGGAGGCCAGGCCAAGCCAGGCCAGGAGGCAGGAGGCACTCGCATGGCCAAACATAATACATGGGTTAATGGTTACAAATTAGGCCTGGATCGGTTGCACGCACAGGGAGGCAGTAGAAGGAGAATGGACGATGGACGATGGACCAACCGCAGGCTCCCTGGCCACAAGATGTGGCATGGAAGGAGAGACTAAGCTGCCAATTTAATAAATGGCCAGGCATTAATTAAATCGAAAAGGAGAGAGAGGCAGGGGCAGAGGCACACACACCATGGAGGGGGAACGCCTGAAGTTACTTGACTTGAGTGATGAGACTTGATTGATTTCTGCCGAGGGCCACACTTGAGGTGCATTGTTGCACATAATTGTGGCTCTGGCCTTGGCTCTGGCTCTGGCTCTGGGCTGCTGCACTACTACAACATTGATTTATGCCCCGATCTCTTTTGTGTGTGTTCTTGCCACACGGGGCGGGGAATTTGTTTCCAATTCAACAAAAAACTTGATGAGAATTGATGCCACTTGAAAAGGTTTCGGTTTGGGCACTGATTTCAGTGTTTATTTTGACAGTGGCCATTAAATGGCCAACTAATTGGCAAAGGTGAAAAACAATTAGATGGCAGTTTTCAGCTGAATTCCAGGACACAGCAACATACAGGACATTCTGGCACAAAACGGTAGCCAGAACCTTGGAAAATACACTTCGGCATTCATCAAATGGCGTATTAGAAGAAGTCAAACCTCACAGCAGGAGCAGGACATTCTCGCAGCTCGCAGAGAATCCTTTCTTTCGGCCCCTTGTAATCCCTTTCCCTCACTTGTGCCGCCGCCTGATGTCGCGCGTGGGCGTTTTTGGTGGGCGTTTCGCAATTCCGATATGCAAAAAAGGGTATTTGCCGATCCAATGAAATTAGCAACAGTAGACGCAGCTAATGGTTTTTGTTTTGTCTCGTCGTTTCCAGGACCGGCACCGGCAGCGGCACAAAGCCAAAAAGGGTTGTGCCGTGTCCCTTGACTTCTGTTGGGATAATCCGGGATGAAAGAGGATGAGACTGGATTACAGAACTACCGCTGCGAAGAGTCAAAGAGTTAGAGGAAATGAGACGCTTAAAAACTGTCCAAGAATTAGAGGAAATATTTTCTAAAATTAAGTACGAAAATATAACCCCAAGCTTAGAGGTTTTTTAAAATGGAAATTGATGAAATTTTAAAGAATTGGCATTTGTGTGTTCCCTGAAGTAATATTTAAACGAAAATCGTGCTCTTTCTGGCATGTAAAAATTGTTACATATGTATATTAAAAATATCTCAGACGTTCTTCTGGTGTTTTTTTTAGTTCGAAAAACCACTGAAAAAATTTAAGGAATCTCTATATAGAATATGTCCTAATACCGCTGCCAGTTGGCTTTTTGGTCGAGCTCTTTGGAACGCCGTGGCAGGGCAGGCAGGGCAGGGCAGCAATACGGGGCAGTACGAGAGTACGAAGTATCTGCGGTAATTGACATTCGATCATTAATCACAAGCTGCACACTGCAGACATTTCCTTTCGTTCGTTTCATTTCGTTGGGTTTTTCGCCTACGAATTTTTATTCGATTTCCACTAAGAGAGAGAGAGAGAGAGAGGGAGAAACTCTGTTGCAAGGGAGACAGTTTCTTTTTTTGGTTTATTTCTTTTACAATTTTCAGTGGAACGGCCTTCAACACCTTCTCTGCTCTTCGGAGGCGAGTCTGAGTCGTCTTTTTGGGGCAAGGGAGTCTCCATTTTGGGGCAAGGGAGACTCCTTTTTGGGACAAGGCAGTCGCTTGAGTCCGAGTCCCCACCATCTTTGTATCAGCATCATGGCCGCCCTGGTGCTGGCGCTACTGAGTGCTTTGTTCTTCCGACTGACAGCTCCTTGATGTGGCAGCAACAGCAGCAGGCAGGGCAGGCCTTGCCTTGCCTGAAGGGTCCGTAAATCCCCATATATGATGTGTGTGGTGTGCTCTCACCCTCATCCCTATCTTTCTCTCTCCCTCTCCACTTCTCCAACCCTCGACGTCACCACCCTCGAAGTAGATGGCAGGCAGAGTGCCAGTGAAAGTTCTCCACCAGAAAACAGAACCCAGATGAAAGTAGCAGCAATTTCCAACCATTTGCAATTCTCTGACAGTAGTAGCATTTCTGATGAAATTTTATTCCGTTCACATAGCCGTCAATGTCATTTCTGCCGCTCGCTTGGACCCCACGATTTTTTATGTCCTTTTGTTGATTATTTCGTTGACATGCCGCCTGTCTTCCCTGTCTTCTCTGCCTTCCCTGTCTCTTTCCCAGTTGAAGTAGCATTAGAAATAAAGGAAGAAGAGTCTCACCCCCTCCCACACGCTTTTTGGTGACATTTTTTTTTGAGAAATGTTACGCTTTTGGCGTTGGTTCGTTGGTTGGGGGAGCGGTTAAGGGTCTGGTGTACTATGTTTGCATTCTCGATTCGTGTTTTGTGGTGTGCTTTAAATTGTTGGCCATTCCAAAGATATTTTTGAGACATTTTTCTCGGATTTTTAGCTGAAGAGGAATATAATTTAATAGTTTTTGGATGGTTTTTATATAATTCAGAGGCTTGGGGATTTATTTCACTAAAGAAAACTGCAATAATGCTTTAATGAATAAACTTAAGAAAAATCGCCTCCAACTAAAGAATTACTCGAAGGGTTAAAGATGTCAATAGGACCAATATACAGAGCTTCTAGAAATTAAATTAATCTGTTTATATTCTTCATTTAGTATTAATTAAATTAATTTTACACATTTTCCATTCTATTTTATTTTATGCCGCCATCTGTCGTGTAGTAGCAGCTGATATCCGCATAAGTTCCACTCATGATCCACGGTTTCCAGCATTCCGTGGTTCAAGTACAGGCTAGAGAAAGAGACAACAATACGTGCTGAATATGAGAAAGGGACAACATTTCAGCTGAATATCTGAGTCATGACTTGAACCCAATGTAAAATTCCACGTAAAGTTGGTGTAGTAAGATGTAGAAAACGATTTTTTTGGAAATAATTTGCTTACGAGTCACATGTAAAATTTGAAAATTAGCCAAGTTTTTAACCCAAAATAACCAAAAAAAATGCCAAATGTTTTTTTTTTGTTTTTATGGTGTA